CTTATATTTCCAAAAATTACTGTTTCACATACCCTTAAAAAGCGAATTGAGCATGTTTGATCCAATGTATATGGGTTGGTTCTAAATTGGACGGATTGGTATGGCTATATTTGTTGTGTCATCGCAGCCCTCAGTCATCTTCGAGTGGAAAAGTATTATAGGATGTATTGGTTGGATTAATAGTTTTGTAGTACCATGATAAATCAACTTTTGGCCATATCTACTTCCAATTCTCTTTTATACATTGTAATTCGATTTGACAATTTAAAAGAGTTGAGTGCGCTTGTGACACTTCACTTCATAACAGTATCGAAATGCCTGTAACTGAGCAAAAATTTAATGCTTAAATTTCCCCATTATTTCGTTCTCTCCTAGTGAAATTATCATTTTCAAATCAGCTGAAATACTGGCAGCAATCGTAGCAATAATCGTTATCCAAATTTTATTAAAACATATCTACCAAAATCTAATATTTGGTAACGATTCGCTTCGTAAACCCACTTTGATGTTGAACATGTTGAGGATATTGATAGCAGGGTGCTCTTATGCTATCTTAGCTCTCCACTGTAACAATGTGGCGAACAACGCATGCATAAATGCTATCAGAGGTGCTGATGGAGTATCATATCTATATTTGTGGTGCACCTTTTTAAGGATACTGTAAGTGTACTACAGCTAATCATGTTTCAAGTATTTGTATCTGCATTGTGAATTTATCTGGAATGTTAATTTCAAATACGATATCCCTTTGATTCGGTGACCTTTTCATGAAAAATTGGTGTGAATGTACACCATTCCTTGTTGCATTACAGTAATCTTATGTAATTCATCTGGAGGCAAACCAGATATATAATACTTGGAGTATCGAATAACTTGATTACGCATGTTTTTTGTAAATTCTGACAATATAACCCGCTACATTGTAGATAGGATACCTCTGAAGTGAGTGGGGCGCTGCCGTAGAATGTGGGCCAGTTGTTCGTGTTCGCATTCGCTAATTTTTATCCACAATTGGCCAAATCCACTCGATTACAGAGCTATTAACATGAAAAATGCTTCTAACTTATTGAAGTTTTGAGAAAAAATTGCGGTTAACACTACTTTTTCCTGACAATATTCTCCGTAAATAACTAGCGAATTGAACAGGTTTAAAATACTGTTTAGCCCCATATTACCCTAAGAAATTCTTCCTTCAAGTCGAGATATTAAAGCATAGTACAGAAGTTCATTTAATTTAAAGAACTGTCTTCTCTTGTTACTTATTTGCCTTTTCACAGAAGAACTACAACGCGAACTATAACTTACGTTTGGAAGCAAAGACACAATAACAAAGGTGTATTTAAGGTTCATTTTTGTCCCAAACATGTATTAAGATGGATTTCTTTGGTTTGTGATTGATGTTCAGATTAAGGAACAGCTCATAAGTCAACAAAGGAAACGATTTGGCGCGTTTTGATCCCAGTCTTACAGAATTCGCCTTTGCATACGTCTTGCTAGCAGCATGATCCAATTCAGTATTGCTTAAAATTAAGATGTTATTATCATCCTAGGCTCTCGTTAGCACAAAGCAAGACGCTATAACCTAATATATAATAACAAAATGACTTTTTTCAATGATGCTACAATTTAACAGCTGATTCGCTCAATCATTATGGGTCCTCTTTTAATGACTTCATGGTTAGCCGCCATAATTCATTCAAAGAGTCATTTAATTACCATAATGACTCAGTTAATATATTCTGTAATTAGCAGCCAATGAAGCTTCCTGAGACAGCGTTCGTCTGCTGAGAATGACACTTCACATTAAGCCTAAATAAATTCGCACGTCAATCCGATTGCGCAACCGTAGGTCTGTTCTTTGTAAGCTCTGGACCCCGTTCAAGGATCGCCTAGTGCTTGTGGATGAGTGCTCCTGGGCGGTTGGTGCAGCCGATCTCAGTGCTGTTGATTAGATTTCCGCAGTCATTGTGAATTATGAGATTATCAACGCCGTCAGCAAGAGTGTCCGTTGTTGCTAAAGAGTGCCTGACTGGACGAGGGAAAGGCTGAAATTTGCTGCTTCTTAACTGCTGTTATGGTTGCGTGACCGTTGGCTCAATTTGTAATTGGAGTTCTAGTGGTTGAGGTGAATTAGTGGGCTCTCAACACGCACAACATCGTGTTGTACTAATGCATTTGAAGAGCAATGTGGGTCTGATGATGAGAAAGGGGCTCTAATTTAGGAAATGAAAGAACTTCCATCAAGCTTTTTTTGGAAATTGTCGGAAGAAACACCTCTTCAATAACTCGCTCACCTTTTGGTGTGGTTTCTTCCAGATGCTAATTGTACTAGTATCAATTTCAAATGCAAATTTGAAAAAAAGTAATATCACTAGAATTAGGTAAAAATAGTAATAACAATAGTGAGAATTATAACAATTAATATGGTTCCACTGTAAATGTTTCCCCAATCAAATATGGTCTGGCGTCAGAAAGTTTTTTTCTTACATAATATAAGCATTTAGTTTTCTGATGTTCTTCTGCAAATCTATATTGTTGAAGTTTTGTATTGGAGCTCGTTAGAGCAAACTAGACCCCTCCGAAATTTCAAGTAATCGATGAAAATTCGATCAGACTCGCAGTTACAT